GGGCGAGAGGCAGGCAGCCTTCCCCCCAGACCCCCGCCCACCTTAAACAGCTGCTGCCTCTCGCCCCCTCCGCTGCCACCGCTTGCAAGCCGGCTGCGCAGGGCTTCCACCGCCTCCCCACAACACAGCGGAGGGTTCGCCCCTCGCCACACCGTTTCCCACTTACACTCCCCACCCGCCTTAAACAGCTGCATGCCTCTTGCCTAGAGGCAGGCAGCCTTCCCCCCAGACCCCCGCCCACCTTAAACAGCTGCTGCCTCTCGCCCCCTCCGCTGCCACCGCTTGCAAGCCGGCTGCGCAGGGCTTCCACCGCCTCCCCACAACACAGCGGAGGGTTCGCCCCTCGCCACACCGTTTCCCACTTACACTCCCCACCCGCCTTAAACAGCTGCATGCCTCTTGCCTCCGTTACACTGCCGCTGCTTGCAAGCCGGCTGCGAGTGGCTTCCATTCCCTCCCCGCAACACAGCAGAGGGTTCACCCCTTCCCGTGCCATTCCCCGCTGACCCTCCCTCATGCAGTGCGGGTCCCGGGAGACCCGTCACAGCACCCCACGGAGTACCTCCCGATATTCTGGCATATCCGATAATCCGGGTCCCAAGGGTGCCAGATTATCGGAAGTCTACTGTATGATGTTAGAGAAAGCAAATCTGTTTTTTTTAAAGAAAAGAATATGGTACCAATTCTGATAAACTGTTAAGAATTTATATCTCCTGTAACATTTAATCCCAGATAGATAGTAATGTTAATACTGATTCCTCATATAAAATCCTCTCCAGCGAAAAAAATACACACTGAAAAGTGCAAGTTGCCCAAAGAGAACGTTTATTGGCTGTAGAGAAGGTGTAGAAGGCAAAAGTTCTGCCCACTATGGAGGGCACTCAGCCCCCAAAAATAAGAAAAAAAATTGTCCCAAGGTGTTATAGGTGCATCTACAATGCAGGGCTTAACTCGAAATAAGCTACGCAAATTGAACTACATCAATTGCATATCTTATTTCGAAATAGGGAGCATCTACACAGCACTTATTTCAAAATAGAGCACTCTTCCTCTAACTTCACTTATTCCTCATACAATGAGGGTTACAGGAGTCAAAGTAAAAAGTCCTCCAGCTTGACAGTATTTTGACACTATTTCAAAATAACTGCCTGCTGGGTAGATGCGGAGTAAGTTATTTCAGAATAGTGCTAGTTATTTTGAAATAGTGTTGCAGTGTAGACGTACACACAGAGATCAGAACTCATATATATGAGCTTATAGTTTCCCTAGTACTACAGCTCTCTGTCTTTGGTTCCGCCTTCTGTCTGCTGGGGCTACAAAGATTGTGGGATGGACCTTTTGCAGCCAGATGACTAGAATAAAAACACAACATGGGAGGTGATAGGGAGAGTACTTGGTTACTCGTTTGTGGAAATTGGGAGAGTTGCTTGGGAAATGATGTCTCCCTCACTAAAATTTGGATATGCCTCTGAGCATTGATTTCCTTTCTGATATTTATGGGAGCCACCAGCCTACACTTTATCTCAGTTGGATGTATTACTCACTGAATTAGGAAAGAATCTGTTCCTGAACTAGGGTACCAGTGAATGTACTGAGCATGGTCAGTGAGACCTGCAAAGTTATTTGCATTCCTGACTGACATATAGGACAGAACTGGTTTGAGTGTTGTATAATATAAAAACCAGCATGACAATATCTTCCAAGAGAGAAGTAACCACTAGAGAACATACATAATCAGAGGCACACAGAAAACTCATGGGGCAGCATCTAGAAGCTATTCTGGACTACTTAGAGAGCCTTTACTCATATCTATGAATATCTATTTAACACAAAGATTTAGAGAATAACCTTCAAATATGACATTTGCTTACATTGGTTTTTATGTCCTTGCCTCTTACAAAGTAAACAGATAATACAAAATAAATCTCCATCAGCTTGTGACTAATTGCCTTAAAGAACAAAATCAGTGACATTCAGAGTGGAGGTCTGAGATAAAACCAGATTTATTGCAAACATATCTACTAATGAAGGCCTCTCAGGTCACCCAGGTTGTTTACTTTCATAAAAATGTGTTGTGCAATATACTTACTCTGAGCTCATTGCAACATAGGAAAAGAAAATGGCCTCAATTTTAAAAGCTTATTTTATATTTTCCAAAGCAAGTGGTTTCTCTACTTTGAATAATAGGCATTCTGACAAGAACGAAGAGCTTTACTAACAGAAAAACAAAGTGGGAAATGTTAAGCAATCTTTCTGTTGTTAAACTGAAAGGCTGAAAACATTTTATACATACAGTATAAACACATCTCTTTTGATATTATAAAAAACATAGGTTTGGACGTAGCTGGATTACAAATATAAATTTAGGAAACTGTGGCTAAAATCATGGCACTGTATTTGAAATTTAATATGTCAAGCATAGATTTTTCTTTTTCTAAAATTAAGGGTCAGATTCTGCATCTTGCACTTTTACATTTTTATTGCATTTAGTTAAGCCATTACATTTGCAGAGAAAAACCATTAGAAAGTCTAAATTGTAAAATCTGAAAGTTCCAACTTTAACTCTTTCTCTGTATCCTGATCCACACTACAACCTGTGCCAGAAGATATTTACTAAAGGACAGAGGAAATTTAAGTCTGTTCAACAGCAAGTTACCTAGTGTCTGACGATATAGCTCATCCCCTCCATATCTTTCATTGAATACCAATGGAAGGAGAGTCTCTGCTGTATACGTCAGGGTAAATCCTGTTGTCCCTTGGAATCAACCATTGTGATAAAAAGAAC